CCTCCTTTATTGAAGAAGTAGTTACAGAAAATCTTCTTCTTGTCAACGGGTGAAGATGATCTTCCCTTCCCACCTTTGCCTTTCTTGTTGTTCTTGTCGGCATGGGATTTCGGAGAAGGTGTAGGAAGTACCGATGCAGCTTCACTCTTCGCTTTCGCCTTAGGACGTTTGGGAGGATCACCTGTAGACGATGCGGCCGCTTCATTCTCCTTCTTGGTCTTGACGGGAGCGGCAGGCTTGTCTGCATCTTCTAAGGCAGGTGCCGTCTTGTTAGAGGACAATGACAGTTTCACTGCACGTTCTCTATCTTTCAACAGTCGTTCTTGCTTCCCTCGTGCTATGTATCCCTTGATCATACCAGTTAGGTAAGCATAGGTCTTCTCAGGATGCCCTTCATCAAAGGTTTTGTATCGGTTGATATCGAAGGCCATAAGCTTTGAATGTTCAATCTTCCGGAACAATGTGTCACGCAGGGAATTGTTGGAAGGCAGATCATCATGTTTCATATTGTATACGATGTCAAGCCATTTGTTGTAGAAGGCCTCAAGTTGGTCATCTCCATAGTAGTTGAACATATACAAATGATGGGCATTGTAGAGAACTTCAGTGTGGTCAGGTGACTTGAAGCTAATCAATATCATTGCAAATAGTTCTCGTCCCTTGATGAAGTCCCCACTTCTCCCATACAATTGGTTCTTCATGGACATGTCATACTTCACTTGCATGGACTTGTCCCCAGCATTGTCAATGACTTTCCTCAAGGCGTTGGAGAGCTTGGCATCAATGGATTGGAATCTCACATCAGGAGCTTTGGCCAGCGCCTCCAAGTCAGGTTGATCTGCAAGACACGGAGCTAACCACGCTTTCCAATCTTCATAGTTTCGATCCCCACTTGCAACGCAAACTTCATGAACGACACTTCCCTTCCAGGATGAAAGTTCAGTGGTCTTAGGCCAGGGTTGGAGGCTGATCTTTTCGGCTTCTCTTAGAGATACAGATGACTTGGATCTATCCCTTTCAAGGTTCTCCAACTCCTTGACATTTGTGTTGTACTCATTCCTGAGCTTCTCGAAGGCTTCAGCTTCTGCTCGATATTCCTGCTCTTCATCATTGGCACGATCTTCAGCTTGAGAGAAATTGTTCTTATAGTAATCTTTACGATCTTCCATCTTCTTCAACTCATCTTGAAGATTTCGAACTTCAGCGTTCCTCTCTTGCTTTATCTCGTCCAACTCTGCTTTCAGTTTGGCACACTTCTCTTCACATTCATTCCGAGGCATGGCATTACTGGGGTACCCATGTAATGTAGTCGGTCTATTCATTGATGAAGAAGAATGAGCTTGGTTTTCCAACTTCAGGGCAGCAATAGTGCTCGACATTTCTTCTACCTCAGCGTAACGCTCATTGGCCAATTGATGCATCTCGGTCAAATGGCTTTCAGGAATGGAATAGTCAGTTGCACCTTTGATCACGAGTCTTCTGTCGTTCAACATCTTGATGGACTTACCTGCATCCCTGTGAGCACGCTCGAGAGAGTCCTTTTGGGCTTCAAGTTCAGTATGAAGGCGAGCAATAGCTGTATCCCTGTCATTGATTTCATTGTGCAAACTGTCAAACAAGGTACTCGTCACATTCGGATTGTTACTCATGTGATCGATCTTGTTCAGAGCATCTTGATATTTCTTACCAGTTTCATCAAAGTTTCGCTGGAATACTTTGAGGTCCTCAGCGTCAATGAGTTCAGATCTATTCTGCAAGTACAACTTGTCAACTTCGGCCTTGGATTCTTTCAAGCTGTCACGTTCACGCACGGCTTGCATGTACATCTCATAGAGAGGTCCTCCATGCGGTGATCTGCTTGGTGATGATCTTCTGGCTTGTTGACAGGAAAGTTCATGATACTGATTCTTCGATTCAGTCAGTTGCTGTTGCATTCGATCTAAAAGACTTTGTTTCATGTGTAGTTCAGAACGTAGTCCCATGATCCTCATGTCCCGCATGCCACCTGATTCAGCTAGAGATTCTTCAGAAACCCTGTTCTCAGAAATCGTTAGTCGAGATTGCAAGTTCTCACTGTGGATCACCTGCAATCGAAGTTGCGATTCTTCCAAAGCTAAGTGATGTTCACATTCTGCATAACGGTCATGTTCAGATCTTATGTTACTACGGAACTCCTTCATGATCTCGTCCCTCTTCATGTCAGCAGCATCGAGCTCAGTTTCCAGTCGCCTGACGTTCATGGCCATGGTGTGCTTCATCGTCTGGTTCTGATTAGCAACCTCGAGCATCTCGATCTGTAAAGCACATGTTTGGTCGTTGGCATAGCCGACCGCTAGAGCTTCCTGCTTGGCATTCATCTCTGCGTTTTCCAGTTCCAGTCTGAGTTGATTGATGTGAGCATTCGCATCAGCGCCCACATGCACCATAATTGCGTTCGCTTGTCCCATTTGTTCATCGAATTCCGAACGTAGTCGTGAATATTTGAATTCCAAATGAGATGCAGCTTCATTCGACATAGTCTGATACCTTTCCAACTCTTCGATCCTGTAGGTCGCACCTTCGTCTTCTTGTTGTGCAGCCTGTAACTCGAAGTTCAGCATCTGGAGTTGTTCGGTCATCGACATCATCTCTTGATGAGTGGTGCTTTCCAGGAAATTAAATTGTTGATAGGCATATGCTGTCGTCTCGCTCAATCTTGCCTGAAGTACGGATTCTTCTTCAGTGGCCCTTTCCAGTGATGTCTTGTATTCAGCTAATTCACTCTGATAGGCAGTGAAGATGTCGCTACCACTTGATGGGGCGTTCACTTGTTGATAAGATCCTGTCCCTGATGGAGTAGCGTCCTGAATCGGTGAAGGCGGATTCGACGACGCAGTCTTTGCCTTAGTCCTTGGAGTCATCGGAGGCGACAATTGTCGTGCAGATGATCTTCTCTTTCCAGGTGTGCTGTCCCTATCTTCAATTGCTTGCATTGTCGAAATTTGTCTCCCTCTAGGAGCAACCAGAGGTCGCCTGGGTAGGCTTGTTCTCAGTTCTGAGGCATCGCTTCCACCAGTGTCGATACTCTGTGAAGAATTTGACTGCGTGCCGGCAGCTGGTGCAACGGCATGTCCAGAGAAAGAAAATGCATTATCGCTGCTATCCTGTTCAGTCATCTGTAAGGCCCGCGGCTACCCGCTCGTAGGCTCCGTAGGAGTCCTACGGCTGATAACCTGCGAATCGGCGATTGTATGTCCGATTATGTCCTGATACTTGGGGTTGAAGTAAAAAGCTTCGGTGACGGCTTCACAAGGATCGCGGCTTCCGCATGGCAGATCTTTGTTCTGGAGCTGCAGTGGGGTCTTGAGCCAAAGAGGCCAGTTTGAAAAGCCCCTTTGGTGCTGGATCCTAGAGTGTCTAATTGTGATAATATACAACTGTCCGTAGCCTACACTCTATTCGCATAAAGCAAGCAAGTATGTATGTGTAGGTATGTATGCATGTATGCATGAGTGCACCTACAATTGTACGTACATACGTACGTACGTAACTATGCATGCATGCATGCTTGCATCCATGGATGCATGTATGTGTGCATATGTACGTATGTATATCTACGTGTATGTATGTGTCACCTTGCGTATGTAGTATGTGTATATTATTTATGTGTACTATGTATGCCAATATTTACAGGTGGCGACCATGGACCAAATTTGAGAAGATCCAGCCAGTTCAGCTGAGCCGCTGGTCGCTCCTCTGGATGTAGCACGGGCAGCCGAAACTGGAGCCACTTTGGGCCTCAACTCTTCAAAGGTCAGGTACAGTCATTCAACTGCCATGGCAGCTATGAAGCAAATACGATTCTCATCTACAACATCCTGGAAACAAGAAGTGTATAGTGTATATATATATAGCTAGCCACCTATAAACACTCTATTCAAACATATACATACTGTGCATATGTACAACATTGTACAACTGTACAGATGTCAATCCCATCCATCGCCTTCGTTCCGATGGGCTTGGCCGACGGGCGCCGCCTAAGGCACGTTTTTTTGCACTTAGGCAGCGTCGGGGAGCGTCGCATTTAGATGGTCATATTATATCTTAAATAATAATATAGATGGTATTAATCACCACTATTACTGGAATCTGAATTATATTTAGATGGTCATAAATGGATAGAACCTGGGAATAATGATTAATGGTGACCAATGGTGACGAATGGTGACTAATGGTGATTATTGTGACTGGGAATTATTTCGTGCTAAAGCCTATCAATCTCCGGCTTGCCGGAGTCATGACGCTTCGATTCCAGGTCCTCTCTCTCGATTTCCCACCTGAAGGGTGGCTTCCGCCTCGTCCCTAGCGGCTGCGCGGACGAGAAGCTGGGAAAAATTTCACAGTCACCGCTTTCAGATTCGTGTGTGGCGATTCCAAAACACCGGAGAAGCAGTATGTGGACCATGTGGATTTGATTGATTGTCAGTTGTTTAGCATCACGGAGCAAGACAAAAAACATCAAACAACAATAAAAACCTCTGGTTTCAGTTCAGACTTTGCTCCTGTGGAAATCAAGATTATGGTTGATGCACATTATTGGAAAAATCAGACGCTGTCGGATGTCAGCCATTGTGGGATCAAATAACTTATCTTGGATAGAACTGGCTTGCAGCACCGGGTTGAAACCAGTCAGAAGCTAGACATTGGTTAAAATCTTTTGCCAGCGTACAGTAGTGCTTTGAGTTTGAAAAGCCAAAACATGCCTCAGCAAGAGTCAGTAGAAATCAGCATGTTGAAGTTTGCAGGCCTTTCAAAGATAAAGGCAAATAGTAAGGCCTGTGTAATTTTCGCTGCAAAAGAGTCACTGCATGTCTCTTGGACAAAACGAGCCAAATTGACAGCACCCAGAGCTGCAATTTGTCATGCACCGTCCAGTGGCACCGGACCCTCCAGCAGTGGTAGCAGGGTGTGGAGCCACACCAATCACCGAACAAATTCTGACTTGGGTCAGTTCACCTGGCTCCCTTCACACCATGCCACTGCTGGGATTTATGGATGTTCAATCAGTTCAATCCCGCCAAATATGGTATTTCATAGCTTTTGATGGATCCGAACATATATTTCCATAGCATATCATCGATCTGCATCTACTACTTTCCTCACAATCTGCACCAACTTTGTGGCAGGTACAGCTTGCTTCTGGTCAAACAGTTAAATTGATGGAAGCCTGGGCGGAAACTTCACTGGTCCTTCTACCGCAAGTGGCATGGTCCGGTGAATGTGGCGATCAATCGCACTAGCCATCCACGTTCAAGGACTTGAAAAGCGCATAAGCTTCCTTTTGATTGGAAATGCTGTCAAGCAAGAGATTGCGACAAACATTGTCCGGACATATCCCCCTACTGACCATTTCTTCAAAGAACTGCACGGCAAACTTCCAATGTTGGACTTGCGCACATGCGCTGATTGCTGCAGTGTAGCTGAACAAGTTTGGTGCTACCTTCCTATGTGGCATCGAACGCAGGAGGTACAACGCCTGAACGCAGCAATGCATTTCGCAGCTCAAAGCAGCCGCATCAAGTGCGTTCCACACATTCCCAAAAAAATAGCCTTTCCAACTGTCTCTATTTGCCAGAAGGAAATCAATCCAAAATTGGTTTTTCAATTGGTTGATATTGGTTGATATTCCAAATTTATGGTTGCTGTTACCAACTAATGGTCTCTATATTCTGTTTCCACCAGTGTTTTTTCAACAGAACTTCTTTCCGCCTTGGACCACTGGGATCCCTTCTCGCAGCAGCTCATGGCAGCGCTACAGGAGAAAACGTCCAGGCACAGCTTGTGGCGAGACATGCTGGAAAGAAGCTCCAGAGCCCAATGCCATTGCCTGCTTCATGACGTTAAAAGGTGACCATTCCGGAAAAATGCACAAAAAAATGCTTGGCTCCATGACGAAAACAGGAAAACCGGGTTTTTACCTCCAGAGAATCCATGAGAATCCCCTACAATCATCAACCAACAGGGGTTTTGAACACGGAATCCTATGGACAAACCGGTGAGGTGACGGAAATTGCAATTCCATGTGCTAACCGATCCATTTCCCATCCTCTTTTGCTTGCCACGTCCAATTCCACAGAAACAATGTAATGCTTCAGTGATTGTACTTATCTGGTCAGGGTACATTGAGGCCCACTAAACGAGGGAACATCTGTGTTGCACAAATGCCTGATTCCAATAACCATGATGCCACACCACACAAGTATCACACTTTCATAAAATGACTTCTGAGTAGGCGATTCGACCAAACCCCTACACCAATTGACCCCGTTGCAGCCATCAGTCCCGTGGTGTTCCCCCAAAAAAATGCGATAAACATGTTCTCTCTTCCCCCCATCGAAACATCCAACCCAAAGTAGCGTAGCTGTAAACCTGTGCATTCAGTTTACACATGCAAAAAAAAAACACTGTATGTCTGGTGCCACCACACACACATATCATACTATTGTATACCTATGTCCACTTACGGCTTCACTAATTATGCCATGTCATATGCACCTCTATATCTGCCTCTCTCCTCTATTCATTTTCCATTGGACATACAACGATATGATATACATCAAAACACCACATACGTTGACGTCCCAGTCACTCAGCTTTCTCACATGCACTGATGGCCGCAGTAAAACTCACCTCATTGGGAAGGACTTTTGCTGCAGGCATCAGCTGCAAAAGATGTAAAGCCCACTGCCATTGCCAAGCCTTCCAGGTCATGCCGTGCAATTCCACGACGGAACACGGTGCCCAACGTTGTAGCTATCTAATATACAAAGATTCGAATCTGATCGGTCGAAATCTTGTCTCAAAAACAAGAAACACGATAAAAATCAATGGTGTGTGAAAATATGGGTAAATTATGTGCATCAACTACTAGTAAATCAAACCGGGTCTTCAAAAAAAAATAAAATTGAAATGAAAAAATACAAATGGATATAAATATAAATATATATATATACATTAAAAAATACGTACATATATGTGTAAATATAAATACATACATATACAAACATACCATACATACATACATACAATAATTAAAAAAAACATAGTAACATACATAACATGCATACATACATTTATACATACATACAAAACATAGAATAACAAAACATAACATAACATAACACTACATTACATTGCATTACATTACATTGCATATACACACATACAGACAGACAGAACAGAACAGAACAGAACAGAACAGAACATACCATAACATACCATAACATACCATAACATACCATAACATACCATAACATACCATAACATACATAACATACATAACATACATAACATACATAACATACATAGCATACATAACATACATAACATACATAACATACAATACAATACAATACAATACAATACAATACAATACATACATACATACATTACATACATACATGTGCATACATGTCCATACAATTGCATGCATACAGATGCATACATTCATTTGCATACATTTGCATACATTTGCATACATTTGCATACATACAGACATACATTTACATACATTTACATACATTTACATACATTTACATACATTTACATACATTTACATACATTTACATACATTTACATACATTTACATACATTTACATACATTTACATACATTTACATACATTTACATACATTTACATACATACATACATACATACGTGCATACAAACATACATACATACATAGAAACGTACATATATACATACATACATACATACATACATACATACATACATACATACATACACACATACATACATAATTACATACATTACATACATACATACATTACATACATACATGTGCATACATGTGCATACATATCCATACATTTGCATGCATACAGATGCATACATACATTTGCATACATTTGCATACATACAGATGCATACATACATTTACATACATTTGCATACATACAGACATACATACAGACATACATACATACATACTCACACACATACACATACACACATACACATACACACATATACATACACACAAATACATACACACATACACATAAACACGTATACATACACGCATATACATATTTACACACATATACATACATACATGACATTACATTACCTTACAGTACAGTACAGTACAGTTCAGTACAGTACAGTACATACATTACATACACATATATAAATATATTATACACAAAGAAAATTTACACGCATATATGTATCTATATTTACATACATACACAGTAACATATATTTGATTTTTTGTATATACGTATACATCTATATGCATATATATATACACATGTATATATATATTTATACATATACATCTATATGCATATATAGATATACACGTGTATATATACTTGCATATATATATATATATACATACATACATATATATATGATTATATATGTATGTATATATATATTTACGTATTTGTGATTATTTATGTATATGATATAATTATTATATACATTTACACACCCACACACGCATATTATACTCCTCCCGCCTTTTGGCAAACGCTGATCGATGCGCTATAGCTCACCTCATGAGATCCCCAAAATCCGATCCCACGACCCCCCCCGGGATCCGGCAAGCGTTGCGATGCGTGGAAGGAATCAGCACACCATGGCGTTCCTTCTCGTTTCCTGGTTCAATATGATTCAAAATGATGATTATTTTGATTGATGGTTCAATCTCACAGAAATCTCAAATCTATTCAAATCTCAGTCATGAGTTCAGATTGCTATTCCTGGAGAATCTGGAATAGGCCAACATCTGCTCAAAACCTTCCTATTCTCGGCCTCCGGACCTTGTTAGGATGAATCTGCACATCAGGCATCGTGGACAGCAGCTGTAGAGCTCCTGGATCTGGGATGGTATCATTCCCACCCACCAGAATGGTAATCAAATGAAGTTTCATGGAGGAAACTCCGAGTCACGGTCTTTCACATTCTCACGAGCCCAAAGATAACTGTGTCCAGATGGCATGTGCCTTCAGAGATCATGAAATCACATTCTCACAAGGTGGTTCTCACAAGCTGGTTTGAGAGATCATGAAGTCACATTCTAACTAGCCCAAAGATCATTGTGTCCAGATGGCATGTGCCTTCAGAGATCATGAAGTCACATTCTCACTAGCCCAGAGAGAATTGTGTCCAGTTGGCATGTGCCTTAAGAGATCATGAAGTCACGTTCTCACTAGCCCAAAGATCATTGTGTCCAGTTGGCATGCGCCTTAAGAGATCATGAAGTTGCATTCTCACTAGCGCAGAGATCATTGTGTCCAGTTGGCATGTGCCTTGAGAGATCATGAAGTCACATTCTAACTAGCCCAAAGATCATTGTGTCCAGATGGCATGTGCCTTCAGAGATCATGAAGTCACATTCTCACTAGCCCAGAGATCATTGTGTCCAGATGGCATGTGCCTTCAGAGATCATGAAGTCACGTTCTCACTAGCCCAAAGATCATTGTGTCCAGTTGGCATGCGCCTTAAGAGATCATGAAGTCACATTCTCACTAGCCCAGATATCATTGTGTCCAGTTGGCATGTGCCTCAAGAGATTATGAAGTTGCATTCTCACTAGCCCGGAGATCATTGTGTCCAGTTGGCATGTGCCTTCAGAGATCATGAAGTCACGTTCTCACCAGCCCAGAGAACTTGCGTAGAAGAGGTAGAGTAGAGGTAGGGTAGATGTAGAGTAGAGGTCGAGTAGAATAAAGTAGAGGTAGAGTAGAGCAGAGTAGAGTATAGAGGAGTAGAGTCGAGAGGAGTATATAGAGTAGAGCAGCGTAGAGCCGAGAAGAGTTTCCAGGGGTAGAGGTAGAGTCAGAGGTAAGGTAGAAGTAGGGTAGAGGTAGAGTAGAGGCAGAGTAGAGGTAGAGTAGAGGTGGACTAGAGGTAGAATAGAGGTAGGGTAAAGCTGTGTAGAGTAGAGAAGAGCAGAATATAGCAGAGTATAGCAGAGTATAGCAGAGTAGCGTAGAAAAGAGGAGAGATGAGTAGAATAGAGTAGAGCAGAGTGGAGTAGAAGTAAAGGCGCCTAAAGACGTATAGAGTCGAGAGGACGAGAGAAGAGTAGAGTAGAGTAGAGTAGAGCACAGTAGCGTAGAGCAGGGCAGAGCAGGGTAGAGGAGAGTAGAGTAGAGCTGAGTAGAAGTGGAGTAGGGGTACAGGTAGAGGTAGCGGAAGAGTAGCAGTTGGGTAGGGGTAGAGGTTGGGTAGAGTAGAGTCAAGAAAAGAAGAGTAGGGAAGAGGCGAGTAGAGAAGAGAAGTTACGATTCTGATTGTGTTTCGCAAGTCACAGGTGGCAGATCACATTGAGGTTGCTACATCATGGATGCGATTTGAAATGTAAGATTTGCACGAAACATTGCGTTTTTCCCCACATCTTTGTGTGGGGTTCTTGTTTTTGATTCTGTATCCGTCCCGTCCGCCTCCGCCGCCTCCGCAGCCTCCGCCGCCTCCGCCTCCGAGCTTTGTCACACACCATCTTTCACACACATCTTTGTCACACATCATCTTTCACACACAACTTTGTCACACACCATCTTTCACACGCCATCTTTCACACACCATCTTTCACACACCATCTTTGTCACACATCATCTTTCACACACAACTTTGTCACACACCATCTTTCACACGCCATCTTTCACACACCATCTTTCACACACATCTTTGTCACACACCATCTTTCACACACAACTTTGTCACACACCATCTTTCACACACCATCTTTCACACACCATCTTTCACACACATCTTTGTCACACACCGTCTTTCACACAGATCTTTGTCACACATCATCTGTCACACACAACTTGGTCACACACCATCTTTCACACACAACTTTGTCACATACCATCTTCCACACACATCATCTGTCACACACAACTTGGTCACACACCATCTTCCACACACAACTTTGTCACAAACCATCTTCCACACACATTATCTGTCACACACAACTTTGTCACACACAACTTTGTCACACACACACATCTTTGTCACAACCCAGCTTTACCACACAACTTTGTCACACACCATCTTTCACACACCATCTTTCACACACATCTTTGTCACACAGCATCTTTCACACACCATCTTTAACACACAACTTTGGCACACACCATCTTTCACACACCATCTTTAACACACAGCTTTGTCACACACCATCTTTCACACACAACTTTGTCACACACTGCCTTTCACACACAACTTTGTCCCACACCATATCTCAAACCAACAACTTTGTCACATCTTTGTCACGCACCATCTTTCACACACACCTTTGTCACACATCATCTTTCACACGCAACTTTGTCATACACATTTCTTTCACACACACACATGCACTTTGCCTGGCAGGCGGCACTTATGACACTGGGCTGGCTCCGGTGGCGCGCTTGGTCGCCGTTGGTCGCGCGTGGCGCCGCGGCACTTTGCATGGCAGGCGTGGCACTTCTGGGCTGGCTCCGGTGGCGCGCTTGGTCGCCATTGGTCGCCCGTGGTGCTGCGGCACTTTGCATGGCAGGCGTGGCACTTGGCGACATCCACCTACACTTTGCGTGGGAGGCGTGGCGCTTGGACGTAGCATTTGCGTGGCAGACGCGGCTTTTATGACACTGGGCTGGCTCTGGTGACCGGCGCGATTGATCGCTGTTGGTCGCCCTGGCACGCAAGGCAGGCGTGGCACTTGGCGACATCTACCGGCACTTTGCAGCACTTGACGACATGGAGGTCGCATTTGCGTGGCAGGCGTGGCACTTATAACACTGGGCTGGCTCCGGTGGCGCGCTTCGTCGCCGTTGGTCGCCCGTGGCGCCGCGGCAATTTGCGTGGCAGGCGCGACACTTGGACGTAGCATTTGCGTGGCAGGCGCGGCACTTATGACACTGGGCTGGCTCTGGTGGGGCGCTTGGTCGCCGTTGGTCGCCCGTGGCGCCGCGGCACTTTGCGTGGCAGGCGTGGCACTTGGTGACATCTACCGGCACTTTGCGTGGCAGGCGTGGCACTTGGCGACATGGACGTCGCATTTGCATGGCAGGCGTGGTACTTATGACACGAATGGCTCCAGTGGCGCGCTTGGTCGCCGTTGCGGAGAAAGGTTGCAGGCGGGTGAATCTGTCTGAGGGTTCCAGGTGACTTTTTCTCTTCTTCGTTGACGCTGTGCTATGGTACTTTGCACTTGTTGCGACACTTTGTTCATTGGAACTGGTGCATCAAAGCGATGTGTTCTACAGTAGTGTGTTGCAATTCTCAGGTGTTGTGCAATTCAATCTGTGCAGATCTCAGTGGAATGGCTGCGCCAAGGCCGCTCGAATGGTACTTGTTCTTCAGTAGAGTCTTGCGATTCTGATTGTGTTTTGCAGTCCCTGTCGTAAATCTGTTGTAGTGGTTGCATGAAAGTTGCGAATGGTGCTTTGGCAGCAATTTTTCCATTTTGGCGCTGATGATTTTCCATTTACAACTCCTTTTAAAAAAGTGCGTCAAAATCGTCGTTTTTCCGCTTTGGCGTCGAGATTCCGTGTAGCCGCTGTGCGTAATTCTATTGCGCTTTCGTCAAGGTTCCTCGCTGCTGCGGCTGCGGGCCCTTAATGCCCATAAGGCCCGCCTTTCTTGCAGTATATCCGACACGCATTCTGGTTCTTTCTAGCTGACATATATTTGAGCATTCTATCTGGCATGGTATCTGGCATTTTTCTGACATATATTCTGATATTCTATCGGGCAGTCGTTCTTGCAGTATATCCGACACGCATTCTGGCTCTTTCTAGCTGACGTATATTTGAGCAGTCTATCTGACATTGTATCTGGCATTTTTCTGACATATATTCTGATATTCTATCAGGCAGTCGTTCTTGCAGTATATCCGAGACGCATGCTGGCATGTTGTCTAGCTGACATATTCCGGAGACTTTCACATAGTAGGTGAGGAACAAGAGTATCAGAAGCAGACAGACAAGTGTAGATTACCCGTAGTGATAAAGTACGAAACGCCCCCTCAACGAACCAGCTGACAGTGGTCACTCCCGAATGGTCCAAAACAAAAAGAACAAAGAGTAGAAAGTGTCAGGGCGCGAAACTCACTACATGTTTTTGGCTATGACCATTTTGGTTGCACCAAACCACGCTTCTCCAACGCCATCTCTTTGTCATAAGTCCCCGCTCCCTTCGCGTAGTATAGCGTAGCTATATGAAAGTGATCTTAATGTAAACATATGTAAACCGTCCCACGCATGTGGGAACCTAGAGGCTCCGAGTGCCAACCACATGTTTTTGTGTCGGATGTTCGCTGTGTTCAGAATGATTTTTTCCCCACCTGCCAGGTGAGGGTTGTTAGATTTTATGTCAGTTGCCTCCTCCTCCTTCTCCTCCTCCTCCTTCTCCTCCTCCTCCTCCGCCTCCTCCTGCCTCGTCCTCCTCTCCTCCTCCTCCTCGTCCTCCTTGTCATCCTTGTCGTCCTTGTCGTCCTCGTCGTCCTCGTCGTCCTCGTCGTCCTCGTCGTCCTTGCTCAAGTGCGACCCGCGATCCACAGTGTTCTCTGCCGGACCTCAACCACGACCATCCACGCCCAGTGTTCCCTGCCGGACCTCAACCACGACCATACACGCCCAGTGTTCCCTGCCGGACCTCAAACACGACCATCCGCGCCCAGTGTTCCCTGCCGGACCTCAACCGCGAGTATCCACGCCCAGTGTTCCCTGCCGGACCTCAACCACGACCATAGAATGTCAGAAAGAATGTCAGAAAGAACGCCAGATAGAATGCCAGAAAGAATGCCAGATAAAATGCCAGATAGAATGCCAGATAGAATGCCAGATAGAATGCCAGATAGAATGCCAGATAGAATGCCAGAAAGAATGCCAGATAGAAAGTCAGAATATATGCCAGAAAGAATGCCAGATAGAATGCCAGAAAGAATGCCAGATAGAATGCCAGATAGAATGCCAGATAGAATGTCAGAATATATGTCAGAAAGAATGCCAGATAGAATGCCAGAAAGAATGCCAGATAGAATGCCAGATAGAATGTCAGAAAGAATGCCAGATAGAATGTCAGATAGAATGCCAGATAGAATGCCAGATAGAATGCCAGAAAGAATGCCAGATAGAATGCCAGATAGAATGTCAGAATATATGTCAGAAAGAATGCCAGATAGAATGCCAGAAAGAATGCCAGATAGAATGCCAGATAGAATGTCAGAATATATGTCAGAAAGAATGCCAGATAGAATGCCAGAAAGAATGCCAGATAGAATGCCAGATAGAATGCCAGATAGAATGACAAATAGAATGCCAGATAGAATGACAAATAGAATGCCAGATAGAACGTCAGAACATATGTCAGATAGAATGCCAGATAGAATGTCAGATAGAATGCTAGATAGAATGCCAGATAGAATGCCAGATAGAATGCCAGATAGAATGCCAGGTGGAATGTCAGAATATATGTCAGATAGATTGCCAGATAGAATGCCAGATAGAATGCCAGATAGAATGTCAGAATATATTCAAGATTTGTCCAAATATACGTCCTGACATGTCCTGACATGTCATGGTGGGGATCACACGAAGTAAAGTAATTCAAGAAGGCAATAACGTATGGTAATGCACAGATGATTCAGGAACATCTTGGGTGGATGTCACATATCATTGTTTCCTTGCGGCATGCGCTGGCTCAGAGGGGCTGGCCGATGGATCGTAGAAAAAGACATCGTGGCATGCGTGGCACTTTGTGACATTCTAACATGTTTCATAACGTGTCGAAAGTCGTTTTGCGTGGCAGGCGCAATACTTTTGCGTCGTTTTCAGACGATGAGTTGCATTTTTCGTGGCAGGCGCAGCACTTTGCTGTGTCCATCTTGCTTTTGCGTGGCTGGCGCGGTACTTCAGAGGAATCGAATTGTCAGAGCTGCGAGAAAGCCACTTGGATCAGCACTTCTGTTCTGTATATCATAAACCAACCCTGACAAATGCCATGAGAACCTGACAAATGCTCATCAGCTCTTGGCTCTTGGGGTCAACCCTGATGGTTTTGTTTGGTGGTTCCAAGCTTTCTGACATTTCGCATGTTAGGTATCCTACCCCGGATGATACGCAGTCAATGTCAAAGCACCTGTTAGAGCGTTTTGTGTTTGCTTTTTGTTGCCTTCATCAGACACCATAGATTCCAACCATTTAGAGAAAACTATGATAAGGGCTATCCTATCAGATTGATCCCAGTTGCTTTGCATATGCCGGCGATAATTAAAGCTGCTGACCGACAAGATACCAGCGCTCCATCTCTAAAAAAGTGTCTGTTTGCTGCCGTGTCCAACAAAAACAGTTTTCCGGAGACTTGCGAGAGTTTCCCACAGAATCAGTATCTGTATGTATATGTCTTGCTATTTTCCAATCATAGATGTATATGTATATATCTATATATGCCAATATTGTTTTGTAAAATAGTAGTAATTAAGCCTGATACTTTGCCATTTGGGTTATTGACAGATGAAATCTTCATCGTTGGGTGTATCTTTGGCCTACCCTCTGAATCAGCATTTTTTGGTGCCTTCCGCTCAGGTCTGGAGAGTTTCACTTTCTGTTTTGAAATGTTTGAGTACGTTCGAATCTTTCCATCCTTCTGTAACCGTAAGGCCTGTAAGGCCCGTAGAGCCCGTGGAGCCCGTTGGCGTTGAGAAAGGCTCTTCTCAATGGAAAGGCAATTCAACTGGGCTGAACAAGAAAGTTTGCAACTGTGTCACTTCGAATGGGCTGAGAAAAAATGGACAGGTGGAACTGAGGTGAGGTGAGTCAACACGAGTTGAAAGGAGTTGAGAGGAGAAGAGAGAGATGACAAGAGAGTTGAGGAGAGTCAAGATGATGTGCACAGAAATGAAAGTTGTTGAAAATAGTTGACGAGAGGTGAAGAGTTGAGAAGTGGTTTCACAATTTGCGACAAGAGGTCAGAAGCCCCGGAAAAGAGCATGGAAGTCTGCCGCAGCTCCTATAGGCAAACCTTGTTTTTGGATCCTATAGCGTTACACTTCTCAAACCTGGAAACTTCCGCCACCCGCCCTGCGCGGGTTCTACTTGTATTCGGGATGGTTTATGGCAGCCAGAATAAATCCCACATTACAGAAAACAACTTTGGGAACTTTGGAGGAGTCGAGGAACATCGTGGCACATCCCCAAGTCTCATCTTCTCAGCTAAGGCTCTTTTCCACTCACCACTCTTTTCACAGGAACTAATGGCTGCCTGGGAGCCATGGCGAGGGTTCACGACATGTTGAAAGCTGTTGATCATAAATGGTGAGTTGCTTGGAAGTTTCCATGGCCACCCCAAGGTTTGGATGGTTTACAATGGTTTACAATGGAACATCCTATCAAAATTGGATGATTTGGGGCTACCGCCATTTCTGGAAACGTCCATTTCAGAATCCCCAACTTGGTTTCGTGCCCCAGTCTGATGCAAAATGAAACAGAACTGCTGCGACAGGAGTCAAACCTGTGCCTTTTTGTGCCACAGAAAACCGACCAACAGAGTACCACGCGACACTGTGGATGATGACATCTGGGCTGATTCGAGCACGAGAAGTTGCTTCAAGCAGGTATAGTGCCTTTTGCCATTCGCCAGCTTTTTCGCATGCACTGATTGCTGAACTGAAGCTCAGCAAATTCGGTTGAAGATGAGCGGAAGAGATCTCTCCTTTGTTGGGTTGATTGGATGATTCAATGCTCATAACGTGCAGGCTGTGCAGTCAGTTGTGAGAGCCAGTCCTGTTTCCTTGGAGAAAAGACTTCAAAGGAAAAGGTGGCTCCAACTAGAGGATTCTAGTAAAGTTCAACTGCACTGAGTTCTCTAGAGGCAATGGCAATGAAAATCTGAAACTTGTCCCCACTATATAATAATAAAAAATAAAAAACAATCTCGAACACTTAAGCTTCGAAAAACTCGCAGAGCCATTTGCCATTCAGAGGCCTTTTCACAGGCACTGATGGACGCACTGTAGCTGAAAATGTTTGGATCCAGGTTGACCTCTGGAATACCTCCAGTGTTCCAGCTCGGGTAACTGGACAAATACACCCTGGAACATCTGCAGCTGGAAATGAATCTCAAGAATTCAACTGAGGACTATTCTGCTCCAGCATGATTATGTCGGACCTATATTGTAGCAGGATTGGCTCTGTCCATGATCCAATGTCCTTTCCTCCCTAATTGTGACCACTCAGACGCCCCAACTTGGTCCGATTTACAATATCTACGCAATCAGGAACGTTAATCAATGCTCTCTGCACTCATTCGAACGATATGCTGGCCAGATTTTTGATCTCAGCCGATTTCAATGTCGTCTGTCATTTGGAGGTTTCCTAGAATGGGTAATTATATGTGTATGTATATGTATATATATATATGTTGAAACCTATGGTTTAGGGATCCCCCATTTTAAGAAACCCCCATGAATCCTTTTCATTTGCCCAACAATTCTAAGGTTGGAACTAGGGCCATCATCTAAATTGGAGGCTCCCCAGGATCCAAAATTGAACTACCGGGCAACTCTTCAGCAGCGCCAAGGCATCCTTCCACAAGCTGGATCGAGCACAGGCCGAAATCGCCATGGTGAAGTGCGGCGCATCCAGCCTCTTGGAGCCAAAGGACGTGGTTGTTTGCTGGGCAAAACATGGGCAACATCCATGGAAATCCAACCCATGGACATCTGTGAATGTCCAACATCTTAGACCAAAAAAAGGTGGATAGGGGGAAGTCATTTTTGCATCGGATCCTGGCGAGGATGGTAAAAATTCACAGCACTGCAGAGGCATTTTCCAACTCTGAAATTGGTCTTTACTTATTATCTGAGATGCACTATGGAGACCAGGTGGGATGAGGTGGCACTGCTATTGCCATTGCTGATTGCAGCTGGGTGCAACATAGAAACACCCATTATGGGGGATGAACATCCACAATCTGATGTGAACTACAATGTTACTGATAGAGTTTGATTCATAGTCACTTCTTCCGGCTCACTGCACTTGCCTAAGTTTTGAACCCACCCCAAAAAATCCCACTTGACTGAGCTGTTCTGTTTAATTTCAAAGCAGATCCAGGATGATTGCAGCTTGAAAGTGCAATGACGGTTTACCACTTGCCCTGCAACTGTCTCAACCTCTCAATGCTCAGTACTCTAAAACCCTTGCAATGGTGTATCTATGACGCTGCATAAAGCCGGTAACCTGTTGGTAGCTGTCAATGACTTGAAAGGTGAATTCTCAGCTCAAGCGTTTGCAGTGCTGAATCCCTTGCTCAACGAAGTATGGCACAAAGTCAATTGTAGTTTCCGATGGAACCACAAGTCCCACACAAGCGACACCGCACGTAGCGCCGCACGTTTCACCACGTAGCCAGTGATGCCAAGTCCATGGCAAAAGTCGAAGGCAGAAGGGATCCCTCAAGTGGAATTGGGCCACGTGTCAAACGGAATTGAGCAATTAGACACCTGAGCATGATTCACGACGAAAACTGACACACCCCTAAAATCGTCAATGAGATTAGCACGTTGACCCGCACAAAGTTTCTTCGCGCTTGTAAACGAGGGATCCAAATGGATGGTCCAATGACCTTCTGACATCACTTTGTGTAGAATGCCAGGTGGCGGCGGTTTCGTAAGTGCACCTGCCAGTTGGGCATGTGAATGCACCCAGCGGACCTCAGTCCTCAATCGTTCCAAAGATTCTAAAAGGCAGAGCACTTCCAACGAACTGTACTTATCTTTCAAACCCGCTGCAGTGCAGCTGAATTCAGATCTATCTTCAACAGAATCTCGTAAAGAAACTTTGCGTCAATGAGAACTGCACCACGCACTGCAGAGATGGCTTGATCTGAATGACGTGGATCTATGATACTACCGCACAACTCAGCCCAAGCAAACCTGACCTCAGAAAGTGCCCGCGCTTCAGCTGACAAAGACGATCCAGCTTTTCTCGCCAGTTTGCCTCATCTCCATGGCATAAGAGACACCGGCGCACGATGTCCATCAAAGATTTCGGGAGTAAGTGGCAGCAACCACATTCCACCAGTTTGCTTCCAAGGTCAATACGATTCGCAAGAGCCGCATCACTCCATGCCACAAAACAAACTTGACTTGGATCCTGAACTTCAAGTTGATTGATCCTAGTTGACAGGTGTCTAGTTTGGTTAAACATTCTCTAACCAACTTATTGGTTGCCCCCAAAGTACCCACAGTAGCCTTAGCTATTTCACTTTGCAATTGGCCCAAACGTGCAGACAAATGTGGTCCTGTTTGGTGCGCACGCCACTGCAAAGCTCCAGGAGCACCACGCAGTTGGGACATCTCCTCCTCACTCACAGGCTCATGGTCGGGACGAGCCTTGAATGTGATTTGGTCAATGCTTTCACAGAAGGAAAAGTGATCCAAAGTGTAGCTGAAGTCTGGTTCTTCTCGGATTTGAACTCCGCAGCGTTTGAAGCTAGAAAAGCCCCATGGAGACCACTTGAACCTAGGCATCAGCCCACTGCTCGCTAGTCTCGTCACCACTGATCAGAAAGTCATCCACATGAGCGCAGATGTAGCCAACGGTGCGACGGTTCCCTTCGGCTTGACAATCATGTAGATCATCACCCTGATAGCGTTCATGTAAAACCCAAAGACAAGGATCAGTCTTACACTGGTGAAAACCAATCTGCAAGTGTCCGAGCAACACACAAATACCACTGAGCTGGAGCTATCACTAAACCATAGCAAGGTTTGAGGACCTGGACCATTTCGTTCTCTTTCAAGTTCATTGCACGTGCCAATTCTGGCACTGGTCGGGCAAACAGCTGTCTGGCTTTCTCTGATGCATCACCTTGCAAGAAGGCCGCCTTCACGGCCTTGAGGGCTCTCCAATGTCTCACCGAAGATTGTTGCAGACACACCTGCCTTGTTCTTCGGCTCATCGTTGGCGCCGAAGACATCAGATTCTGGAGGTCTAGGTCCTGATAGCCAATCAGGACTATTCTGCCCTTGGCAGATCCATGTCCTTCCATGTCAACACCCACCGCATCTGCACGGTGCGTCCTGCAGGAATGGGTCCAATGGCATTTAGAACTGCCGCTGTTACTAGCCACTGACTCATCTCAGCCTGCTTTGCCTTCTCAAACTGCTGCTTCTGTTCTGGATTGAGAAGGTGCCACTTCACTTCAGCTCCTTTCACTGTCTTGAGTCTTCAAGTAAAAAGAACGTGATAACCGCTTCATTCTTGTGCATTCGCTCTGGAAGGTCAATCTCAGGCGCATGCCATCTGAGACATCAGTGTAGAGGGTGTTCAGTGAGAAGCAAAGAGGATCTGATTCAGTGCGGGCTCCGCCAAGGGCGGGCGCAGGCTGCCAGTCAAATCCATTCTGCGTTGATACCCGTACTCGCTTGCTCCCTCATCTCCATACAGTTCCCGTCGCATCTTCTTGAAGAGTGGGGGTTGGAAGAGCTCGCTGGTTGGACGTTCGCGTTGAACCATGGCTGGACTAGGCATGTAAGACATGTCACCATAGCGTTCACCACTGGTGGGACAGTGTTAGAAGAACTTGGCTGTTCTACATTCCCTACGCGTGCCTTCTTGACATCTTGTGGCCCTTCATTGGACGTCTTGTTTTCTATCTTTGTCACCCCTGGACACTTTCTCATACAATTCTTGCAAGGTCATTCTTTCGAGATCAGCTTGCGTGTGTGCCCCTCCACTGCTGATCTCGCTGGCCAAATTTTGTGGGGTCTTCTTCTGTTCTTTTGTAGGTGGTTCAACAGATCTACTTCTGTGCATCTGTACAGGAGTTTCAGGTGCAACAGACCTACCGCGACTGACAGAACGTGCTCTACGCTGTCTAGGTGGGCCTTTGGCCTCTTCATCACCAGGAAAAATATAGTTACTTAGTTATCCAAAGCCTCAAACTCGCCTTTGTACAAAGTCTGTGCTAAACTATGAAAAGTCCGTGTGACAGAGGTGATTCACTATTTCTGCTAAAAGCTGTTCAGACTACTGGCATGCCGCAAATGCTCAGGAGCGCAACGTTTGAGACGGCCATGTGGCACTATCCAGATCACATGTGATGGTTTCCTCTCTTCTCCCAGAAAGCATCAGTCCAGGGCCATACCAACGCCAAAGCTTGTGGCTCATGCGGGTCGAAGCCAACGGTTGTGCAGGTGGCCTGATTCTTTTGAAGAAAACCAAATCTCTTGGAACAAAAAGACGAGTCTTTGAGTTCAAGGCACGGGGGACTTGATCTTGAGCCTGAGATCGCAGAAAGGCTTGCTGAGCCCACACCCTGGGCTTCAAGTTTCCGGCCATAGAGCTTCCAGCAACTGCCGAAGAGGTCCAGTATGGGAGATCATGAGATCATATTCAAAGCTATGCAGTCGGCCAGTAAGCGAAGGTTGCCTTCCAAAAGCCAATTATTATGGTGTGAACCCTTCAGCCTTTGAAAGTTCATTGTGAGCTTGACATGCATGGATGACGGCCTTCCAAGCTGAAAATTCAGAGCCCTGCAGCAGTCGCTTCACTGTGGACTTGATGATCTGGATGGAGCGCTCAGCTATTCCAATTTGTCCATGGGCTTAGCAGCAAATTGCAGCACTTCTACGCCACGTTGTTCTGCCCATTGCTGCAACTCACCTGATCTGAAAGCACCTTCTGCACCAAGACGAATGGAGGCAGCCAGGCCATAGTGCCTTACCCAAGTGTCCTGGATACCCTGCACTGCTTCGGGTCCAGTGCAGTTTCTGCTTTCAGTGGCCTCATGTTCAAACAAGTAGTGGGGCACAATCATCCTTGATGCCTCGTCTTCAATGATCAATGCAGCACCTTGCCATCTATTGGAAACTCTGCATTGTCCAAGACTATCGTTTCCCACAGAGTCTCTGACCGTTCCAAAGACGTTTTTGGATTCAAAGGGGCAAGGCGTAGCTCTTGACAGTCTGGACAAACATGCTTGCGAGCTAGCTCTATCAGCTCAGGGAGAGCTCCACGGTGTTCAAGCATACGGCTTAAGGCATTGTTGGAAGGGTGCCCGGTACGGCGATGGAGTTTCTCAAGCAGTCGCAGGCTTGACTGCTTTTCCTTTTCTGTCAGAGGCTTATAGGTCTTGGTTGGGTCCTCTGTCAGAGTATCCGAAGGAAACGCTCGGTATGCTATCATATCTTTTCTCGAAATCTGATTGCACATCTGCTGTGGATAGAAACCTGAATTCGGGGCGTCAGTGCCGCCCAAGCACTCATCATGTGATCGTGACCTGGGCATCTTCGTTCCAGAGCACTTAATTGCCATCATCTGTGAAGTCAACACAACTTGCCAAGGTTTCTTGAAGTAGTTGGCCTTCTGGGTATCCAAACCATAGGCACAACCATGGATGTTGGCTTCATGATATACTCCAAGGTGCTTGAGCGCTTGAAGAAACTGCCGCATTTCTTGCACGTGCCATCCGTCCTTGTTCCTTGGGCACTCCCAACCAAGATCACCTCCAAGATGAAGTTGAGTTCGCTTCAATGCCATTGCGGATCCACTTGCGCGCGTGACGTTTGCGCAAGAGGCTCTTTTCTTTCTTCTCTGGGGTGTCCTCGTTGAACAACTTCTGGATAGGAGAGTATGGACCGCATGGTAGTGAAATCCAAAGAACCTTTGGCCTGTGCTTCTTGATCATGCCCTTGACCTCCTGAAGTCCAACCTTTGTGTTCAGGTCAATCGCAGGGAGTCCAATACGTAGAGCTCTTTGTCCATGATCCAACATAGTACTCACCAGTCGACTGCCTGGAGGACAGCAAAGCTCAAGTAGATCACACTGCAAAGGACTGCCGGTGACTGTCAGGAGCTCCCCAAGGGCCTGCAGGATGTCATTCGCCTTCTCCTGCAGAAAATCCTTGTAGCTCTCATTTAAGTGGCAGCATCTTTCAAGTTCAGAAACGCCAGCACATACTTCTGAATCCCAACCCTCGGTCTCCCCCTCCTCTGCCGGCTTCTCGTGGTCTCGGTTCGGAACCTCTTCTCAAGGTCGATCATGGGTGTTCCTGAAGCCGTTGCTGAGGTTGGTGGCGTTGACTTGGGCACTTGCTGAAGGCGAGCGGTCTTTGGTAGAGCTTTCTCTTCGTTCTCCAGCTTCTGCAGGCGAGCTTTCAAGCTCTCTTTGGCCCCTTTGATGCCGACGGCCTTGGTGCTCAACTGCTCCCGAACTGTCACATCGTGCTCCACAGCCGGGGTCACACTGGCAACTGCCGTCGCTGCATCCTGGGCCAATGGTCCCGCAGACCGATAAAATCCCTTTGGCTCCATCAACTGGCACATAGAGGATGCGCAGCCGACAAGTCTCGCACACTTGCCAACGAGCGTGCCCGTTCCTCCCTGAGACAAAACCACGGCCTTCTGCCATCGCTGTGAGGGTCCCGTAGCACGGATGTCCCTGCGCCCTCGGATCTCGAGGGTCCGCATGCTCGGCCCTGCTCCAATTTCCGCTGAGGGAGTTCTGCTTTGCTTGCTTCTTCTCGCCAGTGGTTGGAGCTGGTGCTGAGCCTTTCGCTTTGACCAAGTTCACATTGGCCTGATCGCCACTTGTCAGGTTCTCCACAGACCGTTGATATCCTCCTTGTTGCTGACTCATCCCTGGTAGAAGTCGATGTTGTCGAAGCTGTGGCGGCCAACAAAAGTGGTGCTAACCGCATGCTTGAGCCTGAGTCACGTTCGGTGGATGCGGTCAGCAACTGTTCACTTCGATCAACATGCAAGTGAGGATGTAGTTCAGGTTCTACATGCTGTGCAAGGGGAAACGAAGAGGTGGATGCGGGAGCAGGAGGAGAGCACTGTGTCATGTCATGGTCTGGTATGAATTCTTCTGTTTCAACCTGATCACCTCCACCTTCACCTTGCAACATCTCTTGTTCAGATTCATGGCCAAAACACTCATCTGACTCAAAAACTGCTTGCCGCTACTTGTATTGCTCTGAGACTGCGTCTGGAAGTCTGTCATGCAAAAAGTGTGGATTTGCAACAAACCAATCTTGTGTGAGGTCTAGTAAAAGGTACCGGTTTCGTGCACGTTTCGAAGGAATCCACTGCCGCAGTGAAAGAGACTTGAAACACAAAGCTCCTTGGTCAAAATCAATCACGGCGTTCATTCTGGCCAACGTTTTGACTGACAACAGGAGAGGGATGCCTGGTGCATCCATGGTGGGAACTGCTATGTGGATAGTTTGACACCTGAGGAAGTTCTATCAGAGAAGCTGCATGCTGAGACTCACCATTGCCGAACTTGAGCTTCTTGCGCTGCTGGTGCACAACTACGTAGCTCTTCACAGCCCCAAAGTGCAAAGCCCGCAGCTGCAGGATCTCCTCCAGTGCTTCGAAAGAGGCAATGGACTCAGCGGCACCGCTGTCTAGCACTGCGTGGCCAGGATACTCCTGCGCAATCATGCAAAGAGCTTCAGCTGAAACAGGGATTACATCTTCACATTCTTCAATGTCACCCATCACCTCATGATTAATTAGGGATGCCGTAGGTCTCGGTTACCATGTACACAATCTGGTTGAACTAGTTCCTAGAACCCTTAACCTGATGACCTCCTTTCCACTTGCTGGTTGCACGCCGCGCTCAGGACAAGTTCGAAAATCATGTTCTTTGGAACCGCAGATGAAACAGCCAGGTTTCTGAGGTCCACTGCAAGATGCGCCCTTTCCAGTCACAGTCAAAGCAGCTGACAGCGAAGGACTGCCTTTGCCCTTCGTCTGGAACGATCCTTTCCCCTTTGGAAACCCAGAACCACGACCCTTGCCCTTGAACATGCTCATGGGATAGTAGCCTCTAGCTAAGTGCTTGGCTGTGTTCAAGGCGCGACTCTCCTTGAAGGTTCGCATCTTGTGCTCAAAGTTGGCGAAGATCTCCTGGTTCTGTGTGGCCTCAGACGGTTGCGCAAGGAGACAATCTTGACAATCAAGCCAGGTTTTGGTTTCTGCCCAGCTCCAGAAAACACCTTGATTATCGCTAGCATAGAAATCATCATCTTGCCATTCCCAGTGCAACTCTTGACCTTCAGGGAGAAAGGAAACCCAAGAGAAGGAGTCTTCATGTTCATGTTCATGTTCATCATGTAGATATACTTCATCAGGAAGACATGAACCTACCCACATGATTGTCTTATCATCCATTTCTTCTCTATCTCGGTCTCACCTAGCAAGCCTCATTCACCAGATTCCTTAGCCCAGAAAGAGCGTCGAGGGCATGGTAAGTCACGTCGGTGTGCTTCCGACATGAGGAGTTCCTCTTTCCGGTCCCTTATGGCACGTTCTATGGTATCTAGGTCTAACTTGTTGTTGATGGCACTGAGCACTGAAAGACGTGAAGAAGCTGGAAGGCCACTACGTCGCAACACGATCCAACCTAAAATCTCAGGAGGAAGTATTTGAACATCACCAACCAAAGTCAAATTGTTCCCACTTGATCGCATCGGGCTCATGTGAGTTCTCATCATCATGACTAGACCCAGTGGAGTGATTGGACCGCCATCTACGGCTTCTATTAGCATGCAATTCAGCCCATTTCTCCGGAGTCCAGTCCTGCCAACGGTCAGGGTCAGCTTGAGATTCATGCTCCGAAGTAGGAACTTGTTGATAACTGATAACCTTAAGCATCAGGATCAAAGTCGCCCTGGTCGTCCAAGCCGCCAGGATTCAAACGCTCTTCAGCAATCGATCAGATCTAAGCCTTCGAGAAACGGGTGTTGAGGGATCATGAGAAGAACGTGACTTGTCACCCTTGGCACCTCCAAACTCCTTGGAACGGCTATCCGTTTCCAGTCTTTGTCGGGCCATTGCCCTGTGAAGCCTCCTATAGCCCTCACAAACTTGAGTTGCCCATTCAGTCATAGAGGCACCAGGGCTCCTTGGAAGTCAGATGAAGAAGTCCTCAGGACGCTGCCCTGAGTCTGGCACTGGTGCCTTACACAGGCGACTCTCTACAAACCTCAAAAGAAAGGCTGCTCCATCAGATTGTTGGAGTGCATGGTGATCTACATCTGCTGAAGCCACGTCCCAAGCCCGCCCTCTCAGGCGAGAAACAAGTTCAGCTCCTAGTAAGGGACGTTTCTTCTTCTCCGTCCTCTCATACTGAAAGCGAACCCGTTTCACATGTTCTAACCATGTAGTGGGGTTTCCATCCCATGTGACAAACTGGTCCTTAGTCTTCTCCAAGTACGTCGTCATTGTTGACAAAATGTTAAAGGTCAATTGAAGCCGTTCTGAATGGTTCCCAAAGTCGAGGGGAAAGTATAGGATGAGTCGAAATCCTTTGGGTTGCCAAAGACCTCCTCAACCTCCCAAAAACAAAACTGAGCCCGCCTGATAGGGGGCCTGATAGGCTCCGCTACCAGTGTTGGTAGCTGTCAATCACTTGACGTTTGAATTCTCAGTTCAAGTGTTTGCAGTGCTGAATCCCTTGCTCAATGAAGTATGGCACAAAGTCAATTCTAGTTTCCAATGGAACCTCAAGTCCCACACAAGCGACACCGCACGTAGCGCCGCACGTTGTCGCCACGTAGCCAGTGATGCCAAGTCCATGGCAAGTCGACGGCAGAAGGGATCCCTCAAGTGGACTTGGGCCACGTGCCTAACGGAATTGAACAATCAGACACCTGAGCATGATTCACAACGAAAACTGACATAACCCCTATTTGCGGCGTGAGATTTCACAACACAATCGCTACCTGAACCAAGAATGTCAGCGCAACCTAATTAGAAGATGTTCCCGCTATAAAATGGTGGAATTTCAACTTCCAGTCATCTGTAAGGACCTATGATCTGCACTGGATGAAAGATTTTTCCAGCTGAGTCAAGCGGCCTGATTCCACATTCTCGCAGAACTTGGAAGGTATTACCTTGCGACTTGGACCCGCAAAGTAACTGGAGTGGATGTACCATGATGTACCCTTGGCAGCTAGCCTTCTGCTCGATACAATCCCATGGGCTCAACCGTCACTTGCGGCAGTAAGATTCGATCACTTGCGGCAGTGAGATTTTCCATCACTTGCGGCAGTAAGAATCAATCACTTGCGGCAGTAAGACTCTTGTAAGACGATTCAAAACCAATCACTTGCGGCAGTAAAATTCCGGAACGTTCATGTTACTGCTGGGGTGGTGGGGTGGGGTGGGGGGGGTGGGACAATAATGTTCATGTTCCTGTGCACATACAGGCACGGCAACAGGCACTGCTATTTATAATCAGCTACTGCTGGGGTGGGGTGGGGTGAGGTGGGGTGGGGTGGGGTGGGGTGGGATAATAATGATGATGACGATGATGGTGATGGTGATGGTGATGATGATGATGATGATGATGATGATGACGATGGCAAAGAGGAGGAGGGAGGAGGATGAGAATGATGATGATGATGATGATGATGATGATGATGTTGAGGAGGATGATGATGATGATGATGACGATGATGATGATGATGAGGAGGAGGAGAAGAAGGAGAAGAAGGCTAATGATGATGTGCTAGGTATGTAAGTAAGGTTTCCACCCTAAACCCTGCCATGGAGATACACGGATCACTACGCTCGCTCAACAGCTACAAGTCTAGTCGCGGTCGCGCCGTTCTATGTAAATCCTAACGTGAAGCTATTGCCACGGTATCTATAACCAACAAATCAACCGTAGCGTTATATATGCCCAACTGCAAAACGAAAAGACATGAAAAACACAGCGGAGCTGAAATTCCACCTGGATAAAAGTCGGTCTTTCTTTTTCTCCTTTCATTCATTCTCTCTGGGTTGGGTTCACACCAAATGCTATAAAAAGCCATGTGTTTTACCTATGGTAACCGAGTCGAATAGCGCCCTAAAAGTTGCTCCAAACCTCTTTGTTAGATCCCCTTTAAAGTTAAAGGACACAGACATGATCTAAACTTCAATCAAGACATCAATGAAAACAATGAAATCCTGTACAACAGAAAGCAGTTAACATAAACCTTCGGTACATCAGCGTTGCAATGGTTCCAGTCAATGTTTAGAAATCACATGGATAGAAGACAAGTATGTGCGCAAGTGCTGCAAAGCAGCTTACTGCCACAAGCGATTGGTTTTTTATACCCTTGCATCAAGGACACCCACTTACCGCCACAAGCGACAGATTTTTACCGACTGCGAAATTGCAGGAATCTCAGGAATCAAGAATTTTCATTGAATCTCTAGATATCTCTAGATCAAAAATAAATTTCTGTGGCCTAAGTCGTGATTATTTTTTCAAGGATGTGATGCTACCTAAGTTGTGAAACGAAAATAATTACCGAGGGCGCTATCTCTTTACCAAAATCCAGGCTCCAGGGATCACTGACTGGGAAGTCCCCGATCCAGGGAGGTCTAGATATAGCGGGGAAAAATCATCACGAGGGGATTTTACATGTGCCACCTTTGAGTACCAAGCGAAAGACTTCACCAAAACAACGAAAACAAACCGGTACAAAATCTACTCAGCCAGTCACACATCGCATCAGCTCGCTTCTCTTCGTCCAACGTGCGCGCAAGTTGAGACACTGTGAGGGAGCGAAACAGCAGATGTGGAGAGTCACGTAGCAAGACCTTCTTCACTTCCTCTCTACCTCCGCTGACACAACTAT